ATATACATTAAAAATTATAATTTAAAATCAATCTGCAGTATAATTCAACAATTTATATAATTTGTTAAAGAAGTTGTAATTGTAAATTACAAGAAGATTTACAAATTAAGAAAAACGGTCCCTCTTGACCAGGTATATATGTTGAAGGAACAATATGGTACGTTCCTGCAGGTACATCTTCTAATTCCAAATATACAAATCCAGATCTATAACCAAAATGAAAAAATCAATCAGAATTTTAGAACGTATGAAGAAAGATCATTTAAAATACAGACCTAAATGGCCCAGAACTTTTTGTCTTAAACATAGTTGCTGCATTTGTATCATTCAATATAACGGTATTAATATCAAAACCTATTTGATATTGCTTAGGTCCTTTCAAAATAATTAATAAATAATTATTGTTATTGGCGCTTTCAAGCACTATTTGATATCGTGGATTATTCACATAAGTGGGATGATTCCCACATCCTCCTGCTGTAGAGTCTTTCCATTGACCTGTGACCTGTAAAAAAATATCAATATGTATATTGAATCAATCTGCAAAATAATCTAGAAAGAATTTAGAGAAATATAATTGTATAATTTATACCTCTTTTTCATATTTATAAAGTTGAGATATTTTCCGTAATATAAATGGACATGTTCCGTATGCACGAAGTGTGTAATATATAGTATTTGTTTTTTCATACTGAGATATCACTAATGTATACTTTGTATCACTTTGATCTCCAAGTTTAATTTTACATAAATAATGTGGACTATTTATCCTCACGCCATCAATGTATGGTGGTGGATCATCTAAATAATTTTTTATGATACATACTTATTATTAATAGCTAAAAATAAATATTACAAAATTGAATTAAAAAATTATTTATATATATATATATATATGCTTACGTGGATAATATACTCTTTTTCCATCATTGCGATAAATTAAAACTGTAATATATTCTTGATTTTCTCGAAAATCTGCTATATCTGTAATATGCCTTGTAAGAAGTATCCAGATAGCACCAGATCCTCTACTTTGTATTTCCAATGAAAATTGTGGATTGTCACCAATATTATATGCATCTTTCACAGGCCCAATGCCAGCTTTCCACATTCTATAATAAAATAGATTTATTAAATTACTTTGACATCATTATATAACATGTGAAAAAAAGGTTATATAGTATATATAATATAGATGTAAAAAAATAATAAAAAAGTTACATACTGATGTATGCAATAAGTATAATTAAATAATCCTGGATTCCAATTTAGATAGAATACATCGAAGAATCGACATATACTATCGTAATCAATCCAAAAAACGCCATTATCAAATACCGAAGCAGATTCTGGATCGTAATTTAACATTTCTTTCAAATCTTGAGTCCAATGTTTTATATCAAGCTCAGAATAATTTCCTCTCCATCGCAAATGAGACCACGGATTTTTTAATTGTAGTAATCTTTCTCCCTATATATACATTAATATAATTTAAATACTTCATTTTTCTCAATTAAAAATGTATAACTTGTTTTAAAGCTAAAAATCTTTTATAGCTGTATATTATTAAAATATATTTATATAACAAAATAGGTAATTAATGAAACGTAATTAAATATATAATTTTGCTTTGCTTACATTAATCTTTCTCACATCAAGAACGGCATATGCGTGACTTGGTACGAGACCAGTACGATCTGCATCCAAATCTGATAATTCTCCTGTAGCTACAGTGACTAGCACGTCTCCCTTATGAAGTCGTAACAGTAATATGTCAAATAAATTATCCTTATTAAAATCTACTTCATTTGGTCTTATCGCCCATCTTTCAGGTATCCAACCGGTTAAGGCATGCAAATCTATATTCTGTAAAGATGAAATTAACATATGAAAATAATACGTATTAGACATATTAAAAGAAAAGATTAATGAAACAAATTATAGAACAACTAATATTTTAATGTGTTGCAAAAAACATAATCTTACACTATTCGATCCAGGAAAATCATAACCACCCATTACTTTCATATAAGCTTTCTCGAGTAAAGAAATCCATAGCTCCCCATGATTGCTAGAGTAGGAACAGAGTAATTGGTTGTATCGGCTTACAGGCAGGAGGTCATCTATTATTACTTTACGTGGAATGCCATTGATGTGTAGTTTCACCATGTATTTTCCTGATATTACATGTTCATCATTTCTAATATATAATAAATATCAAAGCATACACAAGTTTTTAATGCAAGATGAATTCTTATGTAAAGAATGATTGTACTTGTTAAATGTATCTTTTAATTTCCATTTAAAAAAAGCCATCAAATGTGAACGTTTTTAATTTGTCTTTGTGTATAGAACTAGCCAAAACAACAAAAATAAGCATCAGTGCTTGTACAAAATATATACCTCCTCCATGTAGCTAAGCATTCTTGATATATTACATAAATATACATAATTAATAATACTTACATTATACACTAAGCTAAGTAAAATAAATTGAATAATTACCAAATGGATTATATATGGGTTCTTTATATTTATTTTTGGGATAAATAATAGATGTTATGAGTCTTCGTCCAAACTTTTTCTCATATTGAGCACTTACAGCCAGAGAAGCGACAAATGAACAATCCGAAACTACCTAAAAATATAAAAAGCAAATTCAATATTAATCAAGCATGTTGTAATTTCATTATTATTTTCACACTATGCTTAAATAACAAAATAATGATACAAAAGTATATATTTTTTAATACTCATTATTATCGTTACTATATGTTACTAACAGTCTGTTTTATGCTATAGTAATCAACATGATGGCCAATGACCATTTTAGGATCAGAATATAATTCTTCTGGACGACGCCATCCAGCAAAATCTGGTTTTTGCTTTGGTGCCAGCTCTAATAATCCATCTTTATCGGTAAATGGAAAGGCATATTGAAATTTTTCAGCAAGATCAATATTCATAAATGGTACAAATTCATTATCATTTATATGAGAACTATGAAGTAACACTTTCTTTTCTTCTTCAGTGTAATTGGTACTACCACCAGTTACTTTGAGATGCCCACTGCTTCCTCGATGAAGCGAAGATCTATCATTTCTTGCTGAAATTTATTCAAATAATAAATATATTCTAATATTTTGTTTTGGGTCTTTAAATTTATTCATTACCTGGAGTAGTTGATGATGCATTTACTGGTTGTTCCGATTGTATTGGCTGTTCAATATCTGGAAAATTGGTTTCTGGTACAGATGGTAGTTTAGCAAGACTTTTCATAACACCATTATCTGGAGTTTTGATTCCTTTCAGGGACTCTGCCCGTTCGACAGCAACTCTGACAAGATTTGTTAATTTTGTTTTTATTTCTGTGTCAACAGTTTTCTGTAAAATATATAAATCAAGAAAAAGAATTTAACAGGTATATAATAATTAGATTGAGAAAGATTGCACTTACTGTGCTAAGACCAAGTTCCGCAGCATCAGTATACAATTTTACTGCAATGTCTTTTAAACCTGCTTCATCTGCATCTAATGCTTGATTCATGAGAAATTTACATCTTTGTAACTCGGATTGATGTAAAGATTCTGGTTTATGTTTATTTTGTTCTTCTTCATGAACTAGAAGTTTCAGAAAAAACATTTTTTGTTAAAAGCATGTTTATATAAGCATTGATTTAAAGAATTCATATGCTTACTGAGGCGTTGTATTAAAGTAATTCTCTCACGATATTCTGTAAGCTTGTCTTCATACGTGCTATCTAATTGCAGTCTGGCAAGAAGCTTTATAGCAATATCATAATAATACAAAGCTTGCTCGTATTGAGAATTTCTATCGAATTGCACAGCTCTACGAGCAGCAAGTCGCGCATCATCCAAAGTTTGCGTCATTTTAACGAGCGATAATCAAGAATCCAGATTCATTCGATAAATTGTGTTCCGTCAAAATTCCACACAACTTAAAACTCCTTTTTTTCTATTGTAAAATAGTAGTTTTTTATTTCCAATACTATTAAAATAAAGTACTATAAAGTATTATATGATTTTATCTAGAATTTATTTACGTACGTATCACAAAAAATAATAGAAAGATATATAAAAAGATAAGATATAAAGTGCGTGCATCATGTATGTGCAGTATATATATGCAGTCATGCATACCTTGACATAATCACATCAATTGTTGACGTACTACTTATTCGGGGCATGCGCCTTACACCTAAAATTCTTATAGTATGACTGTGCGTGCGCATATGTGAGATATGAGAGCTTGCCAAAGAAGATGAAAGAGAATATACAATAAAATGAAATTTTAAAAATTGTAATATTTAAAGTTTTAATTTATACAACAATCTCCTATCTACTTATCAAATTTTCATATTAGTTTTTTTTTTAAATAATCTTTCAGCGCTTCAAATTTAAAATTTCGAAAATTTTTAAAATCACTATTTTTGAAATATAAATGCTATTTTTGATAGGTTATCGATTTTTTGTTTTCCCTGTCATTTTTCAATTTTTTTAGAATTTAAATTTTAATTGATAATTATAACTGTTATATTTCTATGAAAAGTTAACAAACTAGATTGATTACAATTTTATCGGCATACTATCAAAAGAATAAAAGAAAATAAATGGTATTTTTTAATATCTCAAAGATATTTTATAATTAGTAATTTTGAAAATTGAATAAATTCATAAAAATTTATGGACATTGAAACAAATATATTTCAGATGAGAGATGGCAGTTATAATTTAAAGTTAGTTATAACTTAAGTTAGTTATAATTTAAAGAATCAAGTTTCCAAAATTTTCAAAATTTTTAATCTGAAATTTTGAATAATAAATATCAAATAAATATTTTAAGCAATTTACAATTTTATAATCTTTATCTATTAGATATTCAGTGTAAATTTTCTTTTTTGTTATCTACATTGGATTGAACAGATTATGACTTATATCAAACTTCATCAGACTCATACATGTTCACATATCATATGCACATGCACATGGAGTAATACGTGAATGAATTTCTGGTTCTGCGTTGATTTTAATAATTTTTCTGTTTTTCATTTTTGTCAATTTCATGAATTAATAATTAATGATTTTCAATTTTTACGATAGAATATTCATGAAAATTCGTCTTGACGTTGAATGAATTTTCACAGTATGCTAAAAAACGTCAAGGGACTGACATATCTTGATTACAAACAGAATTGGACTAATCATAATTTATCTATCAAAATAAAGTGGGAAAATATGTGAAAGGTTGCAGAACATTTCAGTACGATATATAAATCTCAATTGAATAATTTTCCAAACATACGGATTGAATAAAAACTGATGTAAGTTGAATTTACATGATTTTATAGGTTAATGATTCGATAGAAAATTGATTGTCAGTTCCATTATGCCGGCTTGATTTTTTCGATGTGTCAGAAATAAATAACATGCAAGAAAATAAAAGTCTTTTAATCCTAAAATAATTATAATAAAAATAATCATAATCTAATAGATTAATTTCACTTTTAAAGTTAACCTTTATTTTTCACGGTAAAGAAAAAACTTTAATAAAATTGTTAATTTAGAAAATCTAGTTTAATACTTGTATGATAAAACCGCATTAATTAATCATAGGAAATCATAAAGAAACCAACACGAATAAAAAAACCTAATATTTGATTCAACATATGACAAAAATAAGAAATGCCATAAGTATGGAGTGGATAGCACAAAATGCATATATAAACAATTCTTTGGATCACTTGCTGCCAGGAAATAAAAGTCAAGACTTCTTAATAAAGCAAGAAGCAAAGTTCTTCCAAAGCGCTTTGAATTCTCAGTCAGGACAAAATGGAATTGTACATATGCAAGTCACACCTAAAGAGAAGGACAAGGAAATCAAGCAGGAAAGCAGTTGTCGAGATATATTGATAACAGTAAGTTAAGTTTTAATTCTTAATTTAATAATATAAATATTAATCTAATATAAATATTAATATATTTATATTAGAAATCTTTTTCTCTTTTTACTGTAAGGTATTTATTCTATATATTTTTCAGCCTTGTCAAACGAGGTCTGTAAATCAATTGCCCAAAGGATTAATTAACATCTCAGAGAAATTGTATAATAAGGGTCGCATTGATATAATAGAGATGACAGTAGATTCTATGTTCAATTATAAATATTTTCTCGTTTATGAAGATCAATTTTCCAAATTTGTTATACTAAAACCGCTCCATAGCAATGCAGCCAGAGAGGTCGCGGTGAATCTGCTAGATATATTGGCGATCATAGGAGCACCGCGAGTATTACAGAGTGGCAATGGACGTAAGTTTGCTGAACAAGTTGTATGTGAACTACGTTTGCTGTGGAACGATTTATTTCTACTGCACGGGGACGTGTCTAAATGTGAAGTTAGCTATAGGGATTTTAAGAGCGCGCTCGAATCCTGGATGAAAAAGAATCCAACCAAAGCCTGGTGTGAAGGACTAAACTTTATACAGATTGTTCACAATTCGACATATCGCTGTCAGAATGATAAAGTTCCATATGACGTGTTGTTCAGACAAAATGTACGCGAAAATTTTCAAAGCATGGAGAAAGACACGGAGAATCTGTGGACGGAAGAAGAATGGCTCAAATATTTGTCAGACAGAAAAATCGCGGCCGCAGCAATAGCAGATACGCAGTGTACATCAAATTCCAATGTAATAATGCTACATAATGTACAATGTTGCATTTCAATATTATGAATGTGATGATTGAAATTATTCTATTTTCAGCAATATGAAGAAAACGCACAAGATACACAGAACCAAAATGCACCTTCGAAAGTCGATATAAATGTCTTCAATTGCGTCAAAGCGAGGAATGAATCTCTCACAGACAATGCGCACACAGTAGTTCATACAGATGAACTAAACGTGAAAAATGAATCGAAAGTACATGAAGATACTCAATCTCTCAAGTGCAAATACTGTCAAAAGCAATATATGAAGATAGGACATTTGAAGAACCATATGAGAACTCATGAGACAAAACGGCTCTTCCATTGTAAACTGTGTAAAAAGACATTTAGCGTTCTAAGATTATACACAAAGCATATGAAACAGTCGCATGAACAAGATAAATCAATCGAGGAAAGTGAAATTCCGGTTAGTAGAAATACGAGAAACAATACTGGCACGATAGCGGCTGTATCTAAGGAAAAATCAATGAGTCAAACGACACACGAGACATCCGACTTTGAGGCGAATGAAGATTGCGATTCATTAATAAATACAAAAGATTCCTGCGGCAAGACCGGCAAGAACTCCAATCAAGTTGGTAAACGAAAGCTATCCACGGAGAATCGCGGGTCGAAGATACAATCCTTACAATGTACATATTGCAAGCAGAAATTTAGTTTTCCAAGCGTGCTGGAGAGGCACATGCGATCGCACACAAACGAACGGCCGTACGTGTGCGAGATATGCAATAAGAGCTTCAAACAGCTGGGTCATCTCAGCCAACACTCGTTGACCCATCATGACTATCGCTCGTTTCAATGTACAGTATGCGGTGTAAAGTTCGACTCGTTGGATTTACTAAAACAGCATGCACACACGCATAAGGGTGACGTGACAACGACCACGTCCAAAATTCGCGATGTCTACCGTTTGTTTGAATGCGACAATTGCAAGAAGGTGTTTACGACGAAAAGCGTGCTGGAACGCCATATATTCACGCATACGCAGGAACGTCAGTATGACTGTAAGGTATGTGGTAAGCGATTCAAGCAGGCTGGTCACGTTAAGTCGCACATGCTGGTGCACACGGGCGAGCGTCGCTTCCAGTGCACTGTATGCTTGAAACGCTTCAGTCTGTCAAATTCGCTGAAAAAACATATGTACGTGCACAACGGTGAGAAGCCGTATCAATGCGACGTATGCGGCGCGCGCTTCCTCGAGAAGCGCAATTTGAACGGTCATTTATTGACACATACTAATGAGCGTCCATACTGCTGCAAGATCTGTGGCAAACGGTATACTCTGGCTGATACTCTGCGCCGTCACATCAGTGCCGCGCATGAGGATGGTCGTACATATCAATGCGAGATTTGCGCCAAGATGTTCAAGCAATTGGCACATCTGTCGGTGCACAAGAAAGTGCACAACGACGAACGACCGTTTCAGTGTCATCTATGCGAAAAGAACTTCAAACATAAAAATGTGCTCAAATCACACTTGGCGATCCACGCGAATGTACGGCCGTTCGAGTGCGATGTGTGCAAAGCGACGTTCGTTAGGAAGACGAATCTGCAGACGCACATCTCATCCGCTCATATGAACGAGCGACCGTATACCTGTACAATTTGTGGCAAGCGTTTCAAGCAGATTAGCCATTTAAATGGCCATGTAGTCGTCCACAGTAACCTGATGCCATACAAGTGTGATTACTGCGATCGCCGATGCAATCGACTCGACAATTTGAAGAAGCATATGCGTCTTCATACAAAGAACAAGGAATGAAAAAACACAAAAAAACGAATTAGAATTAATGAAAGAGGCATCAAGAAACATAAACAAAATAAGAAAAATAAAAAAATAAAGTTAAATTAAATTAAGCAATCAATGTGGATATATTATCGCGTCAGAACTAAATTTATTGAATCTCTTGAATGAACGTTTAAAAATAATTCTATGTCAAATATAAAACATTATTGGTTGTAATTATTTTAAATTATTGGATCGATATAAGTTCCTAACAGAAAATAACGAGATCTTAAAAATAATTGGACAATTGACACAACGAGAGACATTGCTGAGGATAAATGATAAAATATTGTACATATTTTCTTTTTTATTCATTAATTACTTCCAATTTGCTCCACGTATAGCGAGAGATATTGTATTATATTTTAATATTTCTTTAATTATTGAAACAATTGTTCTCATAATTTCCTATCCATTATAAAGCATAATTGTAGTAATATTTCCTAAGCATATTTTATGTATATAACATATATTGTATATCGCGCGAGATATAAAATATTTTATCTCTCAGTTTATTTACTGACTGCCTGACTGATCGACTTATAGGGATATAAGCGAATTTTATACTTATATAGAGAGATAATTATCGATCATGACATATATTTGAAAATACGTAGTATATCTTTATGATGACTTTATGTAGACTGTTTTATAAATTGCATGTACTTAAACAAATGAATATTTAACAGAACCATTAAATATACAATAAGTAATTTTCTTTTTAAATAATAAAGCTCGTCATTATCTTATCATTAACATTAAAGAAATGTTTGTGCAAAAGAAAAACTTTAAATTATTTAATAGTATTTTATCATATATGAATACTCATTGTTCAATAAATTACTTCAAAATGCCAAAGCTTTGATGAGTTTTTTCAATGTTTTGCAGCATGTTAAAGATAGTCTGAACATATACATATATATAAAAATATATAAAATGTGTGTGTGTGTGTGTGTGTGTGTGTGTGTGTGTGTGTATAAAATTATTAATAAATATATTATAAATATATACATATATATACATATATATATATACATATGTAATACATATATAAATACATTAACTTTATAAGTTTACTTTAGAATTTTATAAGTTAATATGGAATTAAAACTCGATCTATAATTGGGATAGTTATACGCAAGAATGCACACGCAGATATCGGACATCGTGGTCAATCGCGCGGCAATTGCGCATGAGGGACATGAAGGGCTGTTCATCACGGTGCCGATCGTGCTGACAGCGACACAAGCAACAATATGGGATACAAGAGGAGGTTAGGATTCGGAACATTTTTCACCGTGCTGATCGTGCTAGCGGCGATCTACTATCGTAACACAGATGACATTTTGCAAAAACGGCTACTTACCTTGTTACACGGCCTCGAGAGGCTTGAGAATAAGCACATCATTACCAAGAGGCCGAAAGTCGCTATAGGTTATGGCGTGTGCACCGACGTCTTCATTGACGCAAAACATCTGCTAAGATATTCAGACGAGATCGGCCGACCTGAACATTTTGATGAAATTAATACCGAGCTCGAGCTACTCAAGAGCTTCGCTTATTATTTTCGCCATGGAGCCGCGGCCGAGTAAGCTCAGTTCACGTTCTTGTCATCATTTTTTAATACGGAATGAATACGTCCAATGAATATATACTTATAGATAAAAAATATAATTACTTTAATTATATTAATAATTGAATATAATAATTAGAGTGTGTTAATTACATTAAGTATATTGATAATGGTTATATATATGTAAATTATATTCAAAGCACTTTAATGAAATATTTAATGATATTAGAGAATTTAGATCTTAAATAGAGGATTTAGATCCTGTTTGATTAACAGAATTATTCTGCTAGGATTTAAATATCTCACTGAATAAATATTAAAATGGCAATTAGCCATTCTATTTTTCTATGTGCCATGACTATCTCTAATTATTTAAAATTATTTTACATGATTGTCAAGGTTTATTACATTATAAATTATCTCATATATCATATTGTAATCACATATTCATAATCGTAATTTTACTTTAAAATGACGGAAACTTTTTTTTATAGACGCTACATGGCAAATAGAACTCTATTCGACGAATTGGTATCGAAAGCACGATCATTTCCTTCATCTTATTCGACAATTGGAGGAAATGCAGCAGTTATGGCAATGCGGTTTGCGCGAGAGGGATGTGATGTGACTCTCGCAGCTAAGCTGACCAAATCTTTGCATCAGATGATCCCGCAAGTGATAAATGTAGTAGGTGGAGAGGTAAAACGTGACGATATTCATCTCATTATGGAATATAAGCATGGCGAAGTATGGGGCCCTTATTCTAGTGCGAGAGCAAACAGGTACTGATAATGATAAAATAACAGATGAAAATAGTGGTAAGATAAACATATAATTAGGTAAACTAAACGATGTAATCTGATGAAAAATTGTATTCCTTTATGCCGTTTTTAGATATATCGTTCATAACGACGTGAATAATCCAATGATCAGTTCGTTCAATGCCTTTGATAAAATCCTAGGGACCTATGATCCTGATTTGCTAGTAGTCAGTGGCCTCCAGATGATGGACAATTATCCATTTCGGGAAGGTAGCTTTTTCTATCACCAATGTATCAATGATTATACAGGATGAGCCGAAACGGATACCAAAATTGATTTAATTTTGAATATTATCAATTTAATTTCATTAAATGCAATGTTAAGAATTATGAATAATCTTAATTTATAATGTATTTTGACAATTTTAATAATTATATTTCAAGTCGGAAGTTAGACAAGTGCATGTAGACGCGATAAATCTTCAAGTTCGATTATTTTAGGAACGAAGCCTCATACGAAAACATTTTATTCTACATTTTTTATTTATTTTACATTTTTTATTTATTGAATAATCTCCTATCTGGTGATACCATCTGTCCTTATCTGCCTTATATATTAAATCAGTTTCTCACACTACAAAATTTTACAGACAAGCGTAAGAATCTGTTGATGAACGTGAAGAAACAAATGGTAGAGCGTCCGAGTTCTACCAGAATCCATTTCGAGATGGCCTCATTCGCCGAGGATAAATTACTTTTCGAGTTGTGTGACTTGGTGGTTCCTTTTGCCGATAGTTTGGGAATGAATGAACAAGAAATAGCGAATTTGTACAACACAATGTATTACGGTAATATCTCATTAGTTGCTAACTCGACCCCACGAGTTGCGACGGTGTTGGATCAGATGAGAACGTTATTTAAACTCATACGTCTGCGAGGAAAGTCGATCGCAAATTCTAGAGAGCTCACAAGAATTCATGTGCACACGTTGGCATATCAAGCTATATTTACCGTCAAGGATTCCATTTGGAAGAATACTATGGCTGCTGCAGCCAAAGCATCGTTAACTGCACACAGACATGTATGTGCATCAAGTAATGTAAGTATTATTCAGATATTCGAAATATAAATATTTTATCATTTTTAATATTTGCAATAAATCCATATCGTAATCACCAAACGCAATTTTTGAATAAAATATTAAACATTATAAGTTAAAAACATACACATAGCATTTATTTATACATATATTAAAACGTATTTTGTATATATGCAACATATAATAGATTCATTCAATAATTTCAAAATTATTTCATATTATGCAGGTAGATGTAAAAAAAGCAACATTAATTATGGATGATAGTTTCTCAACGTCTATCGTTGATGGTACTAGAATAGCATTAAACATCGATAAGCCGGTGTCTTGTTGGGACGAAGTTCTGAAAGTGGAGCAAGAAGATATTCCTATTCAAGTGTGCATCGCTCCCGTGTTGGTTTGCACGGAAGCTAGTCAGACGGCAGGTGGCGGAGACAACATTTCCAGCGCAGGCCTAGTACTTCAGATCTAATTATCGATACGACGGGATCGTTTTATTGCACCGGCGTGTTCGCGTTATGAATTGTAAATCTTTTGCATCACGTATATATAGATGAACATATAGACGAACGGAAATCCTAAGATAGGCCTTTAATCATGTTTGTAGCATGTGAGAATCAATATCCATACTTTATATTGGTCTTTACATTCCATTTGACTGCAAGAAAGATAGAGACTGGATACACAATTATCATTAAGCATCGCTATATTATGTAAAGCACGATTTGATTCTTTTATGCACTCGAATGCATTTTATCGAGTCGCTCTGCCTATTACAATTATCGATAGCAATTTGGTACTAAATGTTTGCAGGTATTGCATTGTTATTCTCGCATTTGTAGATTAATTTTAATCGAAAGATGTTCATTCCGATATTGTATTACGTAAGCTGTGGTAGATTAAGTGTTTTTTATAACGTAATTTACGAAATCGAAAACAAAAAATTTCCTAAACTTGAGTGAAAATGGATACTTAAGAATTAAATAGTGTCATGTGATCTATATTTCCATAGCGATAACTTCAACGATTACATAGCAATAGATGTGCAGTTAATATTAATAACATTATCTTTGAAAAATGGAGGCAATGTGATATTATCTTTAGAAATCGATTGTAAGAGTAAAGCAAAAAGCAAAAAAAGGGAAAGTTGAAGAGCGATTTCTTAAAAAAGAAAAAGAATATCAAGAAATGTCACATGTACCTCCAATATTATGATCTTACGCATTCCAATGTAGAGTTGTGTTATCTTTATATACATACATACACACACACACATATATATATATATATATATATACACACACATATATATGTTTATAAACTCTCACATTTCGTTTACTTTTTTGAAA